TTACCTTCAAAATAGCAATAGCCGCAGATAACAGGGGTTATCCCACGATTAAACAATAATAAAGGTTAGGCCAGGTAAAATAAAAGACAAGATTATAGTTGAGATTAATTTAAGGATAGTGAATTCAATACACTATTCAAAATGATGAACAAGAGAAAAACAAATGAATAAACAACACTCGGTAAACCCTATCTCGGAGCAAACAATAACTTTTATGTGATTGTTTTTTATGTGTATGGGAACACTCAAATCTGAACATGTAGCTTGATATGCATTATTTTGACTTACTCTTAATATTTACTTAGTATAAAATGATGTAATCTTCTTACACGTCTAAGTTTATTACAGTTTGGCCATGATCTAACATGAAATGTATATGTTGCCTGTGAGGGTATGTATAATTAGGATGTATTTGGTCTCTCAACACTTATGTAAAGCTAAAACAATTCCATTTATTAATTTACTATCAAATTGATAACAATTACAATGTAAGCGTAAATAGGCGCAAACACAAGTTTGAACACCCACTGCAAAAATAAAATAATAATAAAGAAAAAACAATATCCACGCATATTGCGTTATACGTTTTAATGATTGAGTGTTGTATGCTGTTTTTTATTTCGTTATAAACATTATGATAACAACGATTGAGGCTTTTCTTCATTTTAAAAAGATCAAAACGTTCCTCTTGTTTTGATATTTTGTATGGCGGAAAATGTCGAAACGACAAGTACGTTACACCAGAGACGTCTGGTTACGCATGCAGCTTTTTAATTGTATTTACTTTCTTAATACCGGTGGCTATATGTTTAGCTATTTTAAATTGATTAAATGCTGTCATCTTGATTAAAATTCCTTTTTTCTTCTATCATCTACTATCCGCGATATTTGCAGTACTCATACTTTCTGTTAAGAATGACGATGTCGGTCGAACCTCGGATTCGTCGAATACCATACACAGAAACAGATACAGATACAGATAGTTTATAAGAGTCTCACACTCCGCATACATATATACAACGATTCAATAAAATATACATAAAACATATGACGCAATCCACACTAAAGGAGTTACGAGAGACTAAAGATAATTTACATGTATGTAAAAGCACTTCACTAAAAGAAACTTGCTTTAAAAGGCTATAAGAGAGAGAAGTTAATACATGTCATAAGATTATATTGAAATTTCAAACTTCAATGTACAATACTCAATGATATATACAATTATTACGACGTTGAAGAATAGCTGCTAAAACTTTGGCACTATATTTAGCACAATTCTAATAAACAAAGTTTAGCTTTCCTCATAACTAAAATTAATAAAATCACTATCTATTTCTATAGCTCTATCATATAAAATATCACGTATATCATCAAAAACCGGACATCTAGTAAGTGTGTGCTCCTCATCCTCTGCCTGGTCTACACAAAATCTACATGTTCTGTCCATCACGGGTAGGTTTTCATATCTCCTAATTCGAGGTGCAGTGGAGCGACCCCACATCTATATTTAGCGAGTGCGCTATACGTTGGCCTCTAGTAAGAGGCGGCTTCACATATGGCTCACACATATATGTATTCCTTGAACTTTTGATCGGGACCCTACGAGTTCGAGTTAGCAGGGTTTTACTGTACTGTTTACCAAAAATACGGAAATGTAGAAGCAAAAAATAGTTACAAAATATTTCAACGTTTGTGTCTGCTATATTTTAAACGGCAATACAATGTATGGCATAGTTTAAATATTTTCAACTTACCTACCGAATTGACTATATTGTGTCTTTCTTATGTTAGGGCGATGAATGAACAACATATAACCACGGACTTAGATAACAATCTAATCTAATTCCGTGATATAACCGACAAACAGATACACGTTTAATTGTATGCAACGTTCGCATGCTGTGCTACATTTTGTTTACATCGAGATTATAATTGAATTTTGATATAAAAATAATAAACCCTTTTCTTCATCTTATATACATAAGTTATAACATATTGGTTCAATAATGAAAGTCATATCGACCTTCTCTCTTAGATTACTAAGGCGTGAAACTTGTGAACAGGAAAATAACATTGAACACACCTGTGTCCAATGCTGACAGCAGGAGGCCCAAGACACACCTTTATACCTGTGTATGACATCAAAGTAATGTCAGCAGGTTGGCTAGGGGGTACCGGAGTTCAGTTCAGTTTAGTTTCTTTAATTCCGAGAGCCATCCGACTCATTGATTAAATGTCAAACAATAGCATCATGGTGATGTTAGTTCTATTTCACAACAATGTCTTCAGACACTGCCAGAGTGTGTTTCATTATATCATTATGCAAACCACAACCAGTACAACTGCACCATACGAGAGAGAGGGAAAAAAACAAGGAATAAAGCAAATACTGCCGGTTGTGGACATTCGATTCCTTGACTTATCAGGTGTGGTACAATGACAAATTACTCTTAATTGTGAGATTTGAACACGCTGATCCGTCCGATGAGTAACACAGGGACCTGAGAATTTGTTACCGCTATATTTGGACCTAAACTAAGGTGTTCAGAGTATTTTTTTTTACATGTTTTAGGGTTTTAGATCGACTTTCGGTAAAAATGATGAGTAACACATTGTTTGCCTCCTAGATAATAGCTCATTATCATTTGAATAGTAAAGTCGTCGTTCATGTATATGTAGCACTTTCTTATACATATAAGTATTACGTACAACAGTCAGTAGCGATGGAAAATATCATTTAAGAAGCTTTCCGGTAAAATACAAAAAGGCTGTTTTGATGTGGATTACCAGTATCGAGGCGATCGCCTCTGGGTCAAAGTTGTGCTTTTCAGAAACGGAAACTATCACGACGATCGCACATTTTTTTGGCAGAAGTATTTTAACAGCATAATATAGCAAACTATTTAGTCGTTAGTCGTCTGTACGGAACTTAATATATTTTACTTTTTGAAGTGGCAAATGAAAAATGATATAAATTACTGTTTCGGTACTTTTAGCTGCATTATCCTTTGTAGAACTTCATGTGCATTTCTATTGTCATCGGAATCTAGCGCGCTATTTTTGTCGAATATTGCGTAACCCCAAAACAAAGAGGTAAGGGATTCGATGCACAGAAGGGCAAGATAGATATAAACAGTATCTTCTTTTTTTCATTCTTGCCTTATTTTTGTTTACGATTACAAGTAATGTACGTAAAATCAATCCAGGGTCAATACAGCAGTTTTTGTTTCTTTAAGTAATATCAATAGTGTTTCTATTGTGGTTGAGATTAAATAAATTGTCTTTGTCTAGAGTGGAAACTCTTTGTTCTGTGGACCATTTAATGTGGTTTGATATTATCTAAAGCTAAAGTTTTTTTTATTTTTTCTACGTTATAATATATGTACATTGAAAAAGTTCAGAGTTATTGGGGCAAAATTCATGTAGATGATCAGTAAAACTTTGATGTGTTCAGGTTTTTGGCAAAATCGATTAAGTGAATGTGTGGTTTTTTACTTTGGGGGAGGGGGGGGATCCCATCCTGCTGGATCCGCTATTATGTATATTGTGTCTAACAGGATCGATATATGACATGACAGTGTTTTTCTGCAGACCTTATTTGCAATCTTTGGGTATCTTTACAATTTTACATGTTATGGTCAGTGGTTTTCTCCGTACCGACGGATCATGCACTCCGTACACACCGGATCATTTCGAAAAATTACTCCGCACCGAACGGATTCTCGTGAAATTGTAGTTCTTGAAAAATAGTAACATTTTGATACGAGATAAAATGATATTGACCTCCATATTTGCAAATTCTATAGAAAATATATCAAATTGCACCTTTTGTTACGCAGCATAATACATACAAAAGTTTTAAGTCTTGCCAAAATAATTTGAAAAATTCTGCTGTGTAGCCATCATACCCAGGTGATTTGTTATTTTGATTTTTTTTTTAGAGCTTTTAACAATTCAGATTCTGTAAGTTTCCCTTCAAGTAGAGACGTATATATTACATATATTAATATGGGTCAAAGAAGTAATATAGACGGTAAAATCCCATATAACACTGGATCCTAATGGAGGTTTGTCCGTAGGATACGAATTACTTAAAATATTATACATATATTATTATATATACGTCTCTGCTTCAAGGTATATTTGTTGCGAATTTTCTAACAAAGTAAATTAAAATATTTTAAGTATTCGTCTAAATTTATTTAAAGAGTGATTGCTCTAGATTTGTTAAAATCCATTCCCTATCTATGTGAATCAGGGTTTCATGTCCACATATATAAAAAAAAAAACGGGATACATATCTTGAAAAGTATATTATACAACTTCTAAACCAGAAAATGTTAAGTTAGACAAATGGTTTGTACCTTGACGGTTAAAAAAACTATTAATAAAATGAAAGTCAATGAAAAATAAGATATCCATGAGTTAAATCCAATAAATTTCCGGAGTATTGGTAATAGATATCTACTTATTCTACATTTTGTTTTACTTACTTTTATTTGTAATGGTTTATAGTGTCCTAACATGAAAACAAACATCATTTAAAAATTATGAAATTTCTTAACCAGATGAGGAAAAAGGAAGACAACTGTTTTGTACCATGAATTGAACATGTCACAAGATTTTGGCTTAATAACAATAAATAATTAGTGAAATGAAAGTGAATTAAAAATGATATATAGATTAAAAATTAAATCCAATATATTTAAGGATTAACTTGAGTATATTATTTATGTTATGGAGCTTTAACACAAAAAAACCGGAGTGTACCCTTATCATAAACCGCGAAGTTAATCCTTATAAATTAATCTACTATACACAATCCCTGTGGAAATCAACTTTAATTGATGGACTCTTTTCTCTTAGAAATTATTACGCCACTGTATCAGCCAATCAAAAGCGACGTTACGAACGGCGACGTCTTTTTTTACCTTATGGGCTGGGCCCACTTGTATAAAGCATCTCAACTCTTGAGATTTCTTCAAGTCTAAGATTTCCTATAGACAATACATTGCTTGAGATTTTCCTTAACTTTGAGATGTTTTATACAAGTGGGCCCTGCAGATAACATAAATTCTTAGGCCAATGAAAAGGTTTGTTACAAGATTAAATTATATGGGTAATATATATATAAATACCCTACATTTTGGTTACTTAATTTAATTTCTAACAAGAGGTTTGATGTGTTTAAACTGTCATTTACGATAGTTGTGTCATTGTAACAACGAGCACCACTTAGAATGTCACCAATGAGTTTATTGAGCAACACCGGCATTGTCACTGAATCTGTACACCTCAAGTGAAGTTGTCTCCTTGTAGGATGTGACTACGAACTCCTGTTTGGTGGGATGGACAATTATCCCGTGTGAACGTCTGATACTAGAGAGACTGGGAACTAGTACCTTCCCACGTGACCCGTCAGGTGAAACAATGTAAACATTGGTGGAGTCACATGCACACACATATACATTGTTATCACGGTCCAGTCCGATACTTCTAGGATCCCGCAGACAAGGGTCACTGTATCTATAGTCTTCTTCATCGCTGTCTAGTCGTCTACACACGATGTCATCACCATCACTGTAGTAAAACGTTGACGTAGATATAGATGCAGCAATGTGTCCGACGTGTCTACTCTTCATCTGTATTTTCTTTTTCATTATTCCATCTGATGACACGACTTTCACACTATTACCAGTACTAAGCAGGGTGTTATCTCCGAGAACTGCTATTCCATAGACGTCGGCTGTTACGAGGTTTATGTCGATTAGAGTCAGCTGACCGTTCTGTAGTGTACATCTCAAAAATCCCCTGTCTCCAATACTAACAAGTATCTCATCAGTATTAAGGCCACGCGTTAGATCATATGGGTTTCCTTCTACTTTGTATTCTCCCTTGTAGCGATACTTGTCATCAAACAACACGAGTCTGCAGTTGTCGTAATCTGTGACAAGTAATTCACCGTTATCAGTAAACATTCCTCCTCTCAAGTTTGTCGGCTGTCTTCCTGCCAGTGAACGTCTGGCGACCGAGAGTACACAGGATACGGAACCAGTCCAAACATCCACTGTCACCGGTCCTTTGGTTGGAGATTCGAGGAGGTCGGACGCTGAAGTAGAGTCGGCAAATGTTGTAGCTGAAGGTGTTGACATCAGAGTCCCAAGCAAGGAACCGATACGTGAATCCGCATTCTGTGAGGTCGATGATATATTCGATATCACGTCAACATTCCCAATGGTTGTCATCTTGTTTATGTCGTCAATAACAGTTCCTATATTGAGTTTCAGTTCAAACGTGTTAGGCTGCCTCTTGGTGGCTTGATCCATACGACGGTAATGTCCTGATACCTGTTGTTTCGTTTTCTCTCTCATAACAAATCGCTGACGATCCGTACCTTGCTTGTCAAAACGAGTCATTAGAATATTAGAATTTTCTGCATTTGTTTGGAATTTCTTGACACATTCCATTCGAGCAGAAAGCTGTTGTCTGGGTACTTTGCACTGATCCGCGAGTTTCGACTGAAATGTTGTGTTGAGACCATCAAGCTTGTCTTTGGCTTGCTGTATTTTTCGCGTCATCTCCACTGATACTTCCTTTTCTTTGGTGTTAAGGAATGTCATCTCAGACTCATCGTCCTCTAACATCGTCGTTGCCTCGTCTTTGATAATCTGCCATGCTGTCTCGAGTGCAGGTTGTCCAGTAAAGGTTGTCTTGATCACATCATCTATTGGTTTGATATGGTTGCAGTTTTTGTGTGAAATGGCCACACATATACAACAACACATAGAGCTGTGATCAAGACAGAAATCCTCCAACGAATGTCCTTCGTGGTTAGGACAGTTTTCGTTTACCGTTGTATCACATAATCCTCCATCTTTGCTGGGAACAAGTCGATGTTTTGCTGTCATTTTGTTTCGGTCGTGAAAACCTCTGCACTCTTTACAGAGGTTCTCAGTGCAGCCAGTGCACCAGACAACAGCAGGGTTGGATTCCCCAACCCTTCGACACGCCTGACAGTTCTGGTCATCTGACGACTTTGTTGTGGGGTTGATAAAGAGATTGTTTATCGGAAACGAGGTCCCCCAGGTGTCTACATCCGTATTGACGTCACTAGGGCTGGTTGGTTTGTCACAAACTGGACATGGAAAGTAGTGACGGTCATCATCTGCAGTCCTGTGCTCTTTATCGATATATGTCGTCAGACAAGGGCAGCAAAAACTATGGCTACACGGTAGCTCCCTCGGCTGGTTGTACGGCTTCATGCACAACAAACACTTGTATTCAGGTGTAGGGTAGGCTTCGGCCATGTTGGAACTTAATCGGGAAATTGCTGTAAAATATAAAAAGATCACAATTCATATTTCAACAAGTACATCCAATATTCCAGATGTAAATATCAACATGAATAATTTCGGTCGGCTTAATGATTGGAATATTTGTATATGATTAAAAAATGTTACACCCCCTCTAGATCCCTAGATCAAGACAACGTGATATACCAACGAATTGCAATTGAAATAACGTTTCAATAGTTCACTCGAATAAAACATATGAAAGTAACAACAAATAAATATCCAACAACAGTGTTCTGTGTGTACAAAACAGCATGGCTAACCCCTGATTCGAACCCTAGACATCAAATGTCTATACTGTTGCTCTAACCGACTGAGCTACGACCACAAATGTCTATACTGTTGCTCTAACCGACTGTGTTACTATCTCAAATGTCGATACTGTTGCACTAACCGACTGAACTACGACCTCAACTGTCTATACTGTTGCTCTAACCGACTGCGCTACGACCTCAACTGTCTATAATGTTACTCTAACCGACTGAGCTACGACCACAAATGTCTATACTGTTCCTCTTACCGACTGAGCTACTATCTCAAATGTCTATACTGTTGCTCTTACAAACTGAGCTACGACCTGAAATGTCTATACTGTTGCTCTAACCGACTTAGCTACGACCACAAATGTCTATACTGTTGCTCTAACCGACTGAACTACGACATCAACTGTCTATACTGTTGCTCTAACCGACTTAGCTACGACCTGAAATGTCTATACTGTTGCTCTAACCGACTGAACTACGACATCAACTGTCTATACTGTTGCTCTAACCGACTTAGCTACGACCTGAAATGTCTATACTGTTGCTCTAACCGACTGAGCTACGACCTGAAATGTCTATACTGTTGCTCTAACCGACTGAACTACGATCTCAACTGTCTAAACTGTTGCTCTAACCGACTGAGCTACGACCTCAAATGTCTATAATGTTGCTTAAACCGACTGAGCTACGACCTCAAATGTCCATACTGTTGCTCTAACCGACTGAGCTACGACCTCAAATGTATATACTGTTGCTCCATCCGACTGAGCTTCCTGGTCCACGGAATTGTCCTGTTATAGTTATATCCAATTTATTAAGGGGAAATAAATCTATATATAGAAAACCTCAATGTAGTGGATTGGTGGTACTTTAATCAACGAGTGTGTTAAGAAATACATGTATGTGAACATGGTAACCTAGTGTAGCAAATGATGTTAAACCATACTTTACACCGTAAATTTTATCCTGATTTTTATTTTCATTTTTGTGATATCCACGACTTTAATCTTGAAAGTTACGACCATGAAATTTTGTTTGTACATGAAACGTTACACAATTCTATTTCATAATGGATAAAAGATAAAAAATAAATAAAAAAAAAACATTTAGTAGATAGGTCAACGTGATCACAAAATTGAAATGTTTTAATATCCTTGACCTTAGCCTTGAAAGTGACGACCATGACATTTGAAAAGTAAAAGTAGCGGTTTAGATGGTGTGCTTCAAAATAATTCTGCGACCTTAATCTTGAAAGCTCTAAACATGAACTTTTGTTTGTACGTGTAATTTCACGCAATTCTAATTCATTTTGTTTAATAAAAAGAATAAACGTTAAGTAGACAGGCCAAAGGGATTCCAAAAGTGTTTCATATCCTTGACCTTCATCTTGAAATTGACGACCCTGACATGTTAAAAGTAAATGTAGCTTCTTTGCAGGCGTGCTCAAAAATGATGTACAGAAAATAATATTCGTTTATGATAAAGATCAACTTAATTCTAAAATTTGACATGTTTATATTTTCCTGGCCGAGACCTTCTAAATTGTGGAATATTTCCATTATGAGAAAAACCAGTTTAACCAATATTACAATTGTTTAGTCATGTTGATGTCATATTTTAGATAGTATTGACTTCTAATGAGTAGCGCATTTTTTGTCAGGCTCTATTACCCTTCGAGACCATAATTTAAATAGATAAATATACACCCTCCTTGATCCCTGTAATTGATTAAAATAATCTCCTCCTAGATTTTCATGAAACACTCAACATGTAATGTAAATTAGCATAAAATAATTCCAGATAATTTGTTTTAAATTAAACACAGGTAATATTCATGTTTGATAAAAGGTTCATTTGTAATTAGGATAACGCATATCTCACTTGTCATTTGGTTGATACCGGTAAGATCTGGAAATAATGAGTATTGCTACTTTTTTAGTTAAATTGAAACAAGCCCAATCAATTGGGATAAAGTGAGTAAGGTTCCATGGGAGGTAACTCGTATAATGTTTAATGTTATAAATATGTCCTGATTTATTCCAAACGGAGAATCGCGATTTTGATGTAAAATAAAAGTTTGATATTCCGGAATTAAAAGCAAAGCGATCAAATTTTATAACGAATAATATTATTAAAAACTATTGTTCTGTTACAGTGTATTCAATTCCCCTTTTGATGCTTCTTTTGATCTGAAGTACATTTGAAGAGTCCTTACATTTGTTAAATGGACAGATGTAGCAGTTATATAACTATCTAAACGGCAGGAGTGAGTGGAGTAGTGTCGAAGGATAATAAATTCCTAATACAGGCGCCTGTAATCAGACATGAAATAAAGGTCATGGGATACAGCAAGCAGTACTGATAAAAGTTCCAATACTGTTCTAACTTAATGGTTTAAGTTGGAAACAGTGCCTACGCAATGAGCAACGTCGAGTTATTTTCTATCGAAGTTTTACGAGGTAATATCGGGGGGTTATTTCACTTTGTATCAGTTAACCTAATACGTTGTAATTTAAATAATCTTGATAGCACTCTTTGTTTTTATAGATTTACTTTTCACGTTAGAATTGATAATGTTTATATAAAACTTTAAAATGATAAATATCAATTATCCAATTTCAAAAGTTCGTTATTAACCTCAAAATATTATTTTTTATTATTGTTGTCGTTATTGTTGTTGTTAAAGGGATATTAAGCTTACTAAAAAATTACTGGGGGGCACATTACTTGTTAAAGTGATATTAAGCTTACAGTAGAATTAATGGGGAGCACATTCCTTGTTAAAGTGATATTAAGCTTACTGTAGATTTAATGGGGTAGCACATTACTTGTTAAAGTGATATTAAGCTTACTGTAGAATTAATCGGGTAGCACATTACTCGTTAAAGTGATACTAAGCTTACTGTAGAATTAATGGGATAGCACATTACTTGTTAAAGTGATATTAAGCTTACTGTAGAATACATGTTTTATCTCGGATGTCAAAATGAGATCTTTGAGGTAAAAATGTAGCTTCTAATTTCATTTACTACTCATCAGTTCCATGCGTTCTAGTTCGAGCTTGTAACCAAATACAATTCATACACAATATACACACGCGTACATTTTTATGATTTTTTATTGAGTGTTTAACGTTCTCTTATTCTTTTGAATTGAAATATCTTTTATGATATGCTTTATCTTAAATTCGCATGTTGGGAATTCTGCTATCAAAAAAATGAAGGTAATGAAAAGTAGAAATCCAAGGAGAAAGAAAACCGAAACGAAATTTGTAAATTTTTACAAAGACCTTAATACATGTGATGATGATGATGATGTTCCTGCGGATATTATTAATTCCATTAATGATTTTTTAAACTGTGATATAACAAAGGATGAGGAAAAAAGAGCTATTAGGTCGTTGAAAAATAGCAAAACATGCTCTGATGACAATATTATGAATGAATATATCAAACATTCTGTTACGAAAATGACTGATTTTTATGTCAAAGTGTTTAATATTATTTTCAAAAGTGGGAAATTGCCATCAAAATTTGCTGACCGGTACTATTGTTCCTATTTTTTAAAATAAAGGTTCACCTATGAAACCTAAAAATTATAGACCAATTACGATTTTTAGTTGTTTAGGGAAGTTGTTCACTAGTATATTAAATGAAAGACTACAGAAATACTCAGAGGATGTCAGCTTGATATGTGAAAATCAGACAGGGTTTCGTAAAAATTATTCAACAATTGATAACATTTTTGTACTTTTCCTTTGATAAATTTGACTCAGATGATGAAAAGTAATTATATTGTGTATTTTTTTACTTTGAAAAAGCCTTTGATAAAGTATGGCGCAATGGCTTGTGGAACAAGATGTTAATGAGTGGAATTAATGGGAAAATTTTAACAATTATTTTTAACATGTATTAAGGCATTAATTCAAATATATCTTTTAATGGTGAATGTTCTGGTTATTTTCCATGTGAAAATGGTTTGAGACAAGGAGAAAATCTATCTCCCTTTTTATTTAGTCTGTACTTGAACGATCTAGAAGAGTTTATGGTCCAAAATAACGTTCATGGTTTGACAAACCTGAGTACTCGTACATGTATACATAAAGCTTTTTTATTTTACTATATGCTGATGATACACTACTTTTCTCAGACTGTCCAGTTGACTTGCAACTACAATTAAATGTATTCAGTGAATACTGTAAACAGTGGAAATTAAAGGTTAATATAGGAAAAAACAAATGTATAGTGTTTAGTAAAGGACGTAAAAACAATAGAAATGTATTTTTATTTAATAATGAGGTGATAGAGTTAGTGGACAATTTTACCTATTTGGGTACGGCATTAAGTCGAAATAGTTCATTCAATGAAACGAAAAAATACAACATTAAAAAGTCTACTATAGCAATGTATGACGTTATAAAGAAAGGTAGACTACATAACTTATCAGTTCATTGTATATATGATTTATTTGACAAGATTGTGAAACCCATACTGTTGTATGGCTGTGAAGTTTGGGGTATTACTGACCTTAAGGTAATTGAACGTGTACATTTAAAGTTCTGTAAACTATTACTAGGGTTAAAAAGTAGCACCCCTAATTATATGATATATGGAGAACTAGGTACTAGTCCACTTGAAATAACAGTAAAAACAAGAATAATAGCATATTGGTCACAATTGACTCATTCTAAAGAAAATAAAATTAATATTATATTG